TCGTAGTGCAAATATTTGACAACGGAGGGTGTAGCCCTGCCCGCCGCCGTCCAACTGGACTTCAAGGAACATATATCTTCAAAACATCAATTGCATTTTTGCTTTTTTTAACAGACATTTGACGTTATAATAATCTTCGCTACCAGAATGAGTATTTTTCAAAAATAATATCTAAATAAGTGAATTGTACTATAAATTACGCCCTTTTACCCTTTATTTAGTAAAAAATTGTATGTATTTAAAGGTAAAATTTCAGATCGCGTCTGGAGGACGGGTAATAGCTACTAACCCCAAATATAATATAATATAATAATAAGCATTTTAATTAGGTGACCCTTCAACCTAGCAATAGCAAGCCAACACTAAACGCACGCACGAACGCACGCATACACACGGCACGCGCGCACAGAGCGCACACACCCAAAGACATTGCCGCTGGCGGTGTATAAACAAGCCAATCACTGCCGCGCACAGTTGTAAGAACGAAAAGTTTAACCAAACCCCAAAGCGAGCAATACGGCTGCCATTGTATGTTGTGTGATGTGTGTGCGTGTGTGCGTGTGTGCGTGTGTGAGTGGAGTCGTGGATGTGCCGGTTGCTGCGGTTGCGTGTGCGTGTGTATGTATGTAGCGTGTGTGTGCGTGTGCGTGTGTGTGTGTGGTGTGTATGTAAAAGCTTGTTGTGCGTGTGCGTGTGCGTGTGCGTGTGCGTGTGTGTGTGTGCGCGCCCGTGTGTGTAGTAAATGTTGGTATGGGGTGGGTGTGATTGTGCGTGGCGGCATGCCTGTATGTGTGTGAATGCGTGTGTGAGTGCGTGCGCGGTGTGTGTGCAAACATTTGACAACCGGAGGTGTACCGTCCCGCCGCTTACCCGGCTGCCCAATGCTCTCACATTTTTAGACGCCGTTTCGATGTCTAGGCCAACACATACCACACTATCATGCCACATGCCCATAACCATTTTGAAATTGTCTGTTAAAATATTAATGTGTTTTCTCACGGTTTTCATGATAACATAGCTATACTAAATGGTAGATTAAAGGTATAATAATAAGCATTTAATTAGGTGGGGCCTTCACCTAGCATAGCAAGCCACACTAAACGCACGTACGGCACGCACGCACGCCCACCGGCACGCGCACACACGCACACACCAAAGCCATTGCGGCTGCATGCGGTGTATATAAACAGCCAATCACTGCCGCGCACAGCTGTGAGGCGAAACCCCAACGAGAGACGGCTGCAGTTGTATGTGTGTGTATGTGTGGTGCGTTGGTGCGTGTGCGGTCGGTGTGCGTCGCGCGCTGGCGTGTGCGTATATGTGTCTTGCACGCCCGTGTGTGTGTAAATGTGGTATGTGTGTGCGTGGGTGCGCGTGTGTGATTGTGTGCTTGGCGCTGCCCGTATGTGTGTGAATTGCGGTGTGTGGCGTGCGGCGGCGCGCGTCGTGTGATGATGTGTGTGTGCGCGCGTGTGTTGCAAATATTTGACAACGGAGTGTAACCGTGCCCGCCGCCGTCACTGACTTTCAAGAAAATATATTCTTCCAAACTACTCAATACATTTTTTTCAGAATTTCACTTATTATTTCATGCTTCTAACCAAATAAAAATTTTCAAAAATAATATTATATTATATTATATTGTTCAAAAAATAATATCTAAAAAAAGTGAAATTGTAACTATGAAATCACCCCATTTCCCTTTTTTTTGAAAAATTTTATGTAATTTTAACGGTAAAATTTTAGATTTTATATATATTTGATACAATTTTTTTAAACAAAATATTGATATATGACTCGAGTCTAAATATCAGTAGTATTTTTCGTTTACTGGTAAATACATCCTCAACTAGAAAGTGAGCAGATAAATGGGTTAAACGCGCATTCGTCAAATCAGACCCACTCAAACCCGTCTGGAGCACGGGTAATAGCTAGTGTCTGTATATTACCTGTAAAAACTTGTATCTCTTCTTCTTTCCTCCTTCCACCTACCTCCTCTGCTTCAGCTCTACCTCTCCTCCTCTGCTGTCCTCCTACCTTCTCCTACTCCACGCTCCCTCACTTTCCTCGCTCCTCCTCGCTTCCTCCTAACGCTTCTCCTACTCACCTCCTCCACCTCCTCCTACCTCCTCCCCTATCCTCCTCCTACATCCTCCTCCTCCGCTTCCTCCTACCTTCTCCTACTCCACCTCCTCCTCCTCCTCCACCTCCTCCTCCGCTTCTCTCCTACCTCCTCCTCCCCACACTCCTCCTCCTCCTCCGCTTCCTCCTACCTTCTTCTTTCCCGCCTCCTCCACCTCCTCCTCCTCCGCTTCCTCCTACCTTCTCCTACTCCACAACCTCATCATTCTTCCTTCAAACCTCCGCTAACCCCTCTTCGCTCTCCGCTCCCAACCTCCTGCATCCCTAAATCCCGGCGCACACGTGAGTAATGTTACTCAAGTAAAATGATGCACGCGTCAAAATGCTCAACGAAAATTCCGCCGCACACGTGAGTATTTTGACGAATAACGTCAAAAATATTCAAAGCAAAAATCCGCCGCACACGTCAGTAAAAATACTCAACGAAAATCAGCTGCACACGTGAGTATTTTTGACGCGATGCATCTCATTTACTTGCGTAAAATTACTCAAGTGCGCGCCCGGCTTTTACCCCTCCCCGCACCTGCTGCTATCCGGAGATGGCACTCTCGCCCGTCCAGCCCGCGCTCGTGCTCTCCTTCGCCAGGTCATAGTAGACCTTCCCGCTGCACAGTATGTGTCTTCTGACACGCCGGGCGGCGTCTTCCGCGCCCCCGCTCTCCTCAATGACGCGCTCGAACTGCGACCCTGAAAACGCAGGTCAAGGTCGGTTGGTCACTGTCGCGGGTCGTTGAGGGTCGATGGAATTCGCATCGATTAGATCTGATTAGAGTTCGATCATCGGGGTATTGAATATATGGATACGGCCACGGCGGCTATGGCTTGGGTATAGGTGGGGTATGGCTGGGGATGGCTTGGTATTCGTGGGGTATACGCTGGGGTAATGGCTGGGGTATGCTTTGGGTATTGCGTTGAGGTACAGGTGGGGTACAAGTGAGGTACGTGGCTTGGGTATTGCTGGTGAGGCACAGGTGGGTATGGCTGGGGTATGGCTGGGTATTGGTGAAGTACAGGTGGGGTATGGCTGGGACATAGTCAGGGAATTGCAACACGTGAGACATAAGCGTAGTACGAGTGGCGGCACATGCCAGAGACACGGCTGTCATGTAAGACCACGTTTAAATACACCGCCGCCGCCGCCGCCACCCTCGCCTACCATCGGGGAAAATCGTCGTCGAGACATAGGTGGCATACGGGTGGGACATGGATGAGACATGGGTAGGAATGAACACCACGTTTGGAGCGCACACGGCCCGCAGCCAGCTACCAGTTTATTTATATTGACATTACACAAACATTCTGTTTAAATATTGCTCATCCATAGTAATTACTATTGCTTAATTACTTCTTACTGCTTAATTACTACTGCCTTAATTACTTCTTACTACATTAATTACTACCTGCTTAATTACTTCTTAGCTGCTTAATTACTTCTTACTACTTAATTACTACTGCTTAATTACTTCTTACTGCTTAATTACTTCTTGTCTAACGATTGTGCAGTTGGCAGTTGTGAATCATGTTAATTTTGTAACTTTATATTAGTATTATTCAAACACTTTGTTCAGTTACTCTCATAACGCTACGAACCATGAAAAATAATGAAAGCTAACGTTTCTAATAGAATATTGCCGTACATACTGTAAACATCAATTTAGTATATGTGTACACATATACTAAATTATATTTACAGTATTACGGGCAAATATTCTATTAGAACATGTTTACTTTATTATTTTTCTACTCTAAAGACAGCTGCCGCGTACTTTAGTCATTTTTTCGGTGGACGACAGACTAGATGACCATATTGTCTTTTCGTCATCCCTCGCTGTATTGTTTATTATTCGCTTTGTTAAAATTCTTGTACTTACTAATATTAAAAACGATAAATAAAACTGTTACATCTTATCAGGGGTTAATAATGACAAATGTCCCGATTTTGTCATTATTAACCCCTGATCTTATATATATCTACCGTCGGTGAAGTCTTCGAGGGGGCTGCAGGCGTCCGGGTGACGAAGCAGACTCTTCGGCGTCATGAGTACGAGGGGCTTGCGGAACGGCAGCAGCACATGCCGCCGCAGCACGTGGAACAGGCTGGCCGGCGTTGTGCAGTTAGCGACGATCCAGTTACAGTCGTTCAGCTGCTGGATCGCGAACGTGCTGACGAGCGGCTGCGGCGCGACGGCAGACGCGCGGAGATGAAAATAAATGAGCATTCGCGAATAGGATGAGCATTTGCAAAACGGATGAGCATTCGTGAAACAGATGAGCATTCGCGAAACAGATGAGCAATTGCTAAACAGATGAGCATTCGTGACACAGATGAGCATTTGCAAAACCGATGAGTAATCGCGCTGCAAGAAAAAACAAGCGTGCAGCCGAGCAGCCATAACAGGTAGAGGAGGCGGCACCATAAAACAGATGAGCATTCGCAAAATAGATAATTTGTGAAAGCATTGAGGATTTGCACCATGGTATGAATAAGAGTATGGCAAAAACTGATCAACTGCTGTGGGTAGCAGTCGGAAGGCATTTAAACAGATGAGCATTCGTAACTATGGAAACGGCGAGCCATACGTTGAGCATTCGTGACACAGATAAACACTTAATTGTGAAAGCATCGAGTATTCGCACAACGGTATGAATATGAATGTGGCAAAAAATAGCTGATGGACAGTGACAGTGATGTGAGTACAGACAAACTATCATTAGACAGGTGACCGATCACGTTGACAACATACGGCTGTCAGAACGAAACGGAAAAAATCGCAATAGCAAAACAGACTTTGCAGAGAACAGCGACATATACTTACGGGAAAGTAGTCCTGGTCATCATTACACATCTGCAGGAATCGCTCCAACCTTGCACTGGAATGCTCGGGTCCCTGTAAATGCCGCAATTAACGTCACGTCATCGATCGATACAGTTTAATATTCCAAAATTATTGCTCATTATATTATTTATTCAGCAGTGACGATATGTGAAAATAAACACACGCCACTTATGTCAGGAATACGTCGGATCAAGATGGCATCTTCAAACAACATAAACGTGACAAATGCTTGACACAACTTGCTATGGTTTCAGACAACGACATCAGTGATTCGATGTTCATCTGCCTATATTTAGAGCTACTTAATTACTACCCAACTGCTGAAAATGTACGAAAACTTCAATACCTAGTTAATAGGAAACCACAGCCTTTTCAGATAATTAAATCATTACACGCGGGCACGTCATTAATTACCCATTCGCTCACTTCTCTGGAACCACTAGGGTTATAAAGTGGTTGCATTACCGCATGTGGGCAACCACATACTCCTTACCATTCCCTCGTATCCATGTGGCAGTAGCAACACTAGCGCGCTCTGGCGCATCCACTTTGCCTGACCGCTGGACAGAAACTGGTCGATAATGCACTGCGCGCCATTCGCAAAATCTCCAAACTGTGCCTCCCAGCAGACGAGAGCGTTGGGGTTGGTGAGGGAGTAGCCAAGCTCAAACCCTGCAGTAGAGTGATGGGCAAGTAACAATAAGATAAATCAATGAATAAATTAAACTAAACTAAATAAATATAAATATATATATATATTAATCAGGGTTTCTTATACATAGGAGGCACAGTGGCGCACCGCCGTTGTCAAATTTAACATCGCCGTTGTGAAAATGTTCCTGTATTTACTGATAAGCATATCCTGTATCTATATAAATATATCAATACATCCTGTATCTATATAAATATATCAATACATCCTGTATCTATATAAATATATCAATACATCCTGTATTTGAATCCATCATGCGCGTTTTTTCCCTAACTGGCCATTACCTCTGGCCATGGCCTTATGTCTAATTTTCCCTCAGAAGAAACCCTGTTAATGTATAAATATATATGTATATATACATATATACATATACATATACATATACATATACATATACATATACATATACATATACATATACATATGGAATCCATATTGATATGAGTAGCTAATGAATTTCCACCACCAGTCAGAGAACCTGCTTAATGTCTCGTTAGCACAATATATCATTGTAGGACGGGCCAAATCACGCGAGGACCTGCCCAACAAGTGAACTGTGACAATAAAAAACATGTATTGGAAGCAGCCCTGTAAGAGTTCTGCAGACAAAGCAAAGCAATTGTGAATCTGGCCTGTGAGATGCAAGCATTACTAGCACCCTTCCCCCCAACCCACCCACCTTTACTCTACAGCTAGAAATATAAACAGTGAAACCGCAGAACTGCGTTGGTTCCTCTGTACGCGTTCGTTCGATTGCAAAACTGAGGCTGCGGAGGAGAACGTGAAGGACTTACCAAGGACACCAAACTCGGACAGCGAGCTGTTGCAGACCGTGTAGGGTGCCTGCTTCTCCGACAGCTGGTTCAGTGGAATGTAGAGTTTGTTGTCCACCTCCTGGTCATGCAGCACGTGATGACGGTGACTGCGGATTGGCAGGGACACACAAGCAGGGTAAAAAATACACGGGAGCGATGAGCGATTCGCTCTTCAAACCTCCAAAATCGCTCCCGTGAGGCTCAAAATAGCTCCCGTGAAATTATTGACGAGAACTATTTTTTCCACAGACTTTTGAAAAAGAGCTCCCGTGAAAAAAAAGAAATCTTTTCCCTGGTGACTGTGCGTTGGCAGGGACACACAACCGCATAGTTAAAGTACACATTATACCAACAAACAACTACACACAGACAGCAATCGACTTAGCACAGGGTATTATGGTTGCATCTGTTGTTATTTTCGCGGTCGGGGACGCGTTCGCGAAATTCGCAAAAATTAAACCACCGCAAAATATACAGCGTAATACAGTACCTGAAGGTGCCACGCTCGACATCTTGACCACTCAGCCGCACATGCACGCCCTCTAGTAGCAGTGAGCCAAAAGCAAGTGCCTCGCCGATGGCCCAGTCAGCGAGTCTGTTGCTGATCTTCGTGGCTCTTTCACGCAGGGTACGCTGCAGTGCTGCAAGCAACGAGCAAAAGTCAAGGTCGAACAAGATCAAGAAAGATCAGCAAGGTCGAACAAGGTCAAGAAAGATCAGCAAGGTCGAACAAGGTCAAGAAAGATCAGCAAGGTCGAACAAGGTCAAGAAAGATCAGCAAGGTTGAACAAGGTCAAGAAAGGTCAGCAAGGTTGAACAAGGTCAAGAAAGGTCAGCAAGGTAAAGAAAGGTAGGCTAGGTCGAGCAAGGTTATGCAATATCAGCAAGGCCATCAAGGTTGGATCAGCAAGGTCAAGTCGGGTCAGCAAGGTCAAGCAAGGTCGTCAAGATCAGGCAAGGTCGTGCAACATCAGCAAGGCCATCAAACTCGGATCAGTACGGTCGGCAGGGTGGCGAAAGCTCGACAGTCAGTCAAGCAAGGTCAAGTAAGTTCAGACTAGCCCACGATCGATAGATCACATACCGGTAGAGACACACTCCATGCGCCACACACCATGAATTTTGGTAAGATGCTTGATGGTCACAGCCGTGGAGAAGAACACTGACCACGTTACCACCTACTAAAATCTCCTTTCCATTTGCCGAGATACACAGACACGTTTCTCACGGACTAGCACTAAGCGTCTAACACGGTTTGGGGCCATGCAGTCTCACGCTATCACACACACATTCACACCATCAGTGAAGGTGTAAATCGTTGAAGGTTGCCGCGACGACGTCGAGGCAGATGCGCGGACGAGTGCGTCTGTCTCACCTCTGTTGGCGTTGAAGCCATCCGGGATGCGGGAGAACTCGTTGGCGATGTGCAGCAACACGCTCTCACTGACCGCGGTCACAGGCATGGTCAGCGGGTCCTTGCCGGCGAAGAAACCTGCAACATGGATGATGCACCGGTGTAGTAGTAGACTAGCAACGATGCTGCCCTAGTGTGCGTAGTGTGTGTGCGTGTGCGTAGTGTGTGTGTGCGTGTGTGTGTGTGCGTGTGTGTGTGCGTAGTGTGTGCGTGCGTGTGTGTGTGCGTGTGTGTGTGTGCGTGTGTGTGGTGTGTGTGTGTGTTATATATATTCTATTTAATTAATCATGATTCTCAGCTAACCTAGTAATTCTAGAACTGGTCACGACGTGTGCCGATAAAGATGGAAATTTGAAGCATCATGTCACTTCTATTTATTACTTTATTAGTCATCTATTATTAATTTAGTTATTACTTATTTATTATTGAAGGGCGTCTAAGGATACCTTTTATCTCTTAATGGACCAGCCTACTGAATAACAGTAATATTATTACATAATATTATTAAGCTATTCTAGCTGGATCTTTTATATCACAATCACCATAAAGAAAGACAATGACAATAGCATTTCTCACATTCTACACCCGTATGCCTTTTGATTTACTCATTCTAAATCCCATGATCCATATTATGGAAACAATAAGTATAGAGTGCTTAAGCAACAGTCATGGGACTAATAAATATAACAGCATAATATCAGTAAAGTTCCAGTAAATACACTGTGACTATCAATGGTATTTCATACATTTAAGCCTAGCCGACGCACGCACGCACATGATAGATAGTACGCTCGTACCCCCAAAAAAAAATAAAAACAGCCACGTGTAATCACTCCTAATACACATGTCTCCCTCTGTAAGCCTAGATATAATACTGCGTGGAAACAGTGAGGGACTAAATAGCAGGAGTGCTGTGTAGACATGGCAAGCATACACATTAGCTTCTTTCTCTCTTACATCGCAAGTTCTCTCTTATACATCGCATTCTCTCTTACATCGCAAGTACTGTTGACTAGTTCGGCACCCTCAGTTTCTTCTTGCACAAATGGAGACAGAGGAAACTGGGCCGCGAGACATTTTTGCGATTGGAATGTAAATATCGCCATGTAAATAGCATTTATAATTTTCTTTCGTGTATATGAAGAATCAAGTAAAATCAGCAAAGTGTGAGAGTTTATGCGGCTTTACTGCCTATAGTCATGTGTAAGTTTAATCACATCCTTTGGACGTAACCCTACTACGGCCACTTTTTAATAAGTAAAATTTGAGCACACACACACACATGCCCACTTCATCACCACATGATGCAGAGCAGGGATTCAAGCACCACTCACCTCACTCACGAAACCACACACTTAAGCCTAGCGCAGACCCACGATTTTTGGTTGCTCGTCGCTGCAACCTGCAACCACACGCAATCGGTCGATGTGTCACCGCGTGTGCGTCATGCGATTTCGAAGCAACTCTAGAGCGATTGGGAGCGACGAGTCGCTCAAATTCAAAACAGTTTGATGTCTTGCAACTCGTCGCAAGCGACCAGAATCGCTACGAGTTGCAGTTGCACGTTCCCGCAGACGTAGCCATTTCATAGCAATTTTTACAGCGATTCTAGAATCGCTGTCGAGTTGCATGAAAAAGTTGCAGGTCTGCGCTAGGCTTTAATCTGCCTGGATTCCAACAAAGGATTCTTACGAAGTGACATGTCTCCACGGCTACAACGACAATGCCTATCAACGGGGTGACTGACACACACGCACACACACAACACGCATAGAATCAAGCGGGAAGAAGTCCACGCGACCCCACAAATACCACGCGTTAAAATGACCGAGTGCTACACAAACGACGAGCTGTAACGTTTGCCGGCGTCGCCATGGTTACTGGAGCCGAACGGTCGCTCAGCAGACGTCATCCAAGGTCATCGCGTCACGGTAGAGGTTGCTGAGCTCTATCAGGTGCTGGTGTTTGTTGCCCGTGGCAGCAGCTTCCGCGGCAACCCGTCCCACGTACCTGTCAAACCATCACATCAGTGAACGGTAAACCGATTATTCCGCCCGACCCCTATATACAGGTTCAACTGCATAACGGTCACCCAGTGGAACTACTGTAAGTGTCCCTTCTAGAGAGGTATTCATTCGATAGAAGTGGATTCAGCGTAGTACTACTGGTAGAGACGAAACGGCAAGTGTCCTTTATACACGGGTCTATGTGATATAGCAGTGTCTACCAGGGGCGTCGCCAGGGGCGTCGCCAGGGATTGACTAACGTTGAAGCCCAGTCATGAAGGTGCGAAGCACCGTAAAGGGGAAAGGGGAGTCTGCGAAGGGGTTTCCCCCTCTCCCTGGTGGGGGTCTGGGAGGGGAGAGGGTTCCCCAAAACATTTTTGAAATGCTACATGGAAAATGGTGTACGCTGGCGAGATTTAAAATGACATTTTAACATTCGAAACACAGTAAAAAGTACATTGCGACCGTTTAATTTCATAATTGAAAAAAAAAATCCAGAAAAGATGTTGAAGCGCGAGCTTCCGGGACCTTCGCCTGACGACGTGCCTGGTTTAATTGCATTTGTATTAATTTTATACAATAATAATTTTATATAAATTAATTTTATTTGTTGGGGTGACTTACCTGACCTTCATCTGGTTGCTAAGCGCTGTGGTGATGCGTGGACGTACGTAGGCCCACGCGCCCATGTTCTTGTGCTCTTCCTGACACCACATCAGATCTGCATTAGGATAGCGGCCGACGCAGGACTTCACCGAGTCGAAGGGGAACGGACAAATCTGAAAACAGGGAGCGTGAATGTTACATACACATCATGTTCCTGTCTGGGCTTTACATCCAATGCACAATGTATAGGCAGGTTAGGTTTCTCCTTATGGTGACCGCCCCTGGTGAACAACGAAGGTCATCCACAGTATGACAGTATCCACCCTCTCATAATGCCAATCTATTTTTGGCTCATTACTCATCTAGTTATCTCTCATCTTCCATCACCTTCTTCTCTCAATTTCTTCTACTCCTA